TGACTTCTACTCGGCCAGATGTCTCTTACGCTGTCCAGATTGTCAGTCAGTTTATTTCTTCTCCTAGGACGTTGCATTTGGATGCTGTCTATCGGATTCTTCGTTACTTGTGGGGCACAGCTGAAGTTGGTCTCTATTTTCCCTCTTATGGTAATCTCTCTCTCGCTGCCTATGCAGATGCTGATTATGCAGGATGTCTTGATACTCGCCGTTCTACGTCTGGTTGGTGTGTTCAGTTTGGTTCTTTGATTATTTCTTGTCGGTGTAAAAAGCAGGATCGTGTTTCCAAATCCTCTGCTGAAGCTGAGTATCGTTCTATGTTTGATGTTAGTTCCGAGTTGGTCTGGTTACATCGTCTTCTTGCCGAGTTGGGTATCACTTGTCATACTGTAACACCCTACCCTATACGTTTTGCCTAATCATATTGTTCATACAATTGCAGCGAAATTAATCTCGGGTGTTACATTAATTATCAAAATTTACCTAAATAAAATTTCGACATGAATTACTCGCGTAATGGGCTAACAGTTCTTCCATATGATCCTGCAAAATAATTCATCTGAATCCATGCATTCATAGACAAACACATATACTCACAACAATATGCATTGGCTTTTCATAGCCATAGTCACAGTTTCATACTACACAACTGCATACCATACTTATACATACCATAATCGTCACAACTTACACAGTTACACAAATATACACATATCATCAACTTTCCACACCTGTGGATATCTCACACTACATCAGAAGCTAGTATGCACATGAAAAACGTTCTGAAAACATTTTTTACAAAAAGGTGTGGATCACTTGCCAAAATCCCGAGTAGTAGTCCAAGCACAGAATAATTGAAGACCATACCTCATCCTGGCTTCAACTCTAGCTCCTCTCCCACCTAACACTTATCTACTGCTGCTGCTGATGATCTGCTTACACATAGCATAAGCAGAGAAGAAGAATAAAAGAGGGTCAGCTCATAGCTCAGTGAGATAATCATAGCATCGTGAGTTAATAACATAGCATACCACTACCATACATCTAGCAAACAAGCCAAAGCACTAGGATCACATCTCAGCCCTCCGACATCCCAATAGGCAAAAGACTCAACCACCTTGACTTATGTATATGCATCTTATCATGTTTTAATCATAGGCGCCTGGCTACTCCCATGCTAATAACTCTCCCGGGAAACATACCCCACATCCCGTCGGATGTAGTCATACATACCCCAACATCCCGTCGGATGTGGTCATACATACCCCACACCACTATGGGTGTAGTCATACCCCGACACCACTCTGGGTGTGGTCATATCTCGTAAGAATTCTTCAGTCACCACCACATGAGAGGTGTGACTATCATACATATCATAATAGAGTAATAGCATAGGGAGCCCTAATTACTATGTAGTTGACCGTGAGACCACAACACTCATATTTGGTATCCTTATACATTATTCATATCTCATCTTGCTTAATCATAATTCATTACTTACGCATGTGCTTGACCTGGCCATAATTGGCTCAACATAGGTAAATCAGGAGTCGTATAATTGCACTTCCTCGGGATAAACCCTTGTGCAAGTCATCCTCCTTAAACATCATAATATCACCCTGGGAAGTTTATTTCTCCCACTTGTGAATCCAAATAGAACCACAATATCACATCATGTCAAAACACCTGATCGAACAACCATGAAGTCATATCAACAGTTAAGCCACAAATGACAACATGTATGCAATCATCAGCATAAACAAGGTCCATATCGATTAGGGCAAGTCAATAATATCATACAACAGTCCAGGGTCAACATATAGCACAAAAGTTCATACACCCCTAATCATGCCATTCTAGTTCACCTAGGTCAATTCTAAGCATCAATATCATTATCGTGATACGACAAACCCGGTATGCCGTGCTAATCCCTCACCAGTTCTGGTTGTTCAAACACCGGTTTAACCTTCCCGTACTAAAACGTCAATTTCTCAAACGAACCCCGAATTAAAATCCGAGACCGTCCTAATATCCCCTGCAGTATCCCCGTCAATATTAGTTCTAGGCTCCAGGTCAAATTCTTGATAAAAACACATCAAACCCTGGCCGGAGCTAAATTCAGCGGTTTGGACCCCGACCTAAATAATAGCCGAAATTCAGGGATTAGAACTAGAGGATTGATAACCTCGCTGCAGGAAGCTCGTATATGAAATTTGGGCTCAATCCGGCTTCCGGATACTCCGAAACCCTAATTTGGCTTATCGGGAATTCAAGAAATTCCTGAACCAAAAACTCGTTTTAAAGCTTTAAATCGATAAATTACTATGTATGGATGAATTAGGCATTACTTACGGGATTTTTGGATCACTAGGGCTCAAGATTGGAGCTTTGGAATTTTTTTCCCAGGAGCTCTCTGCGTGCTCTGCTTCTCGGCTTTCTCTCGTTTCAGAAATTGAGAAAATGATGATGGAGATGAGAATTAAAAGGGACGGGGAAATGCCTGCTTAATGTAATATTATATATATATATATATATATATATATATATTATATAATATAATATATATATAATTAATACGTATACTTATCCGATCGATCGATAATCCGATTTTCGCCGAAATACTGTCAAAATGCTCGATTTTAAATCGCGAACTTTCTAGCGATCGAAATATGAGTTTTGCCGAAACGGGGTGTTACACATACTCCTGTTACTTTGTATGCAAATAATATGAGCGCTATTCGGATTTCCACGAATCCAGTCCTTCATGATCGTACGAAGCACATCGAGATTCATCTGCATTACATTCGTTAGCTTGTCTCAGAAGGATGGATGCAGCTGGAGTATCTTCATACAGAGGATCAGACGACAGGTCTTCTTACTAAGGGAGTTTCTTCTAGTCGTCATTGCCTCATTTGTATTTGTCGCACAAATTGATGCTGCGTCAAGCACCATCAGTTTGAGGGGGGATGTTGGAATATATAAAATTAAGATGACTAAAAATGTAAATAGTTTTTGTATGAGTAATGGTTGTGGTATAGCTCCTACGTATTCCGCAGCCTACTTAAGCCCCATTTTGGCTTAATTGTTGATCAACTAATCTAAGAACCCTATTTGCCACCGTGGAGTAAAGCCTTTCTGAAAGGCCGAACCACGTTAAATCCTGTGTCGTTTATGATTATGTTCATTAATTCGAGATAGATTATCAGAAATATCCTAATTCACAATTAATTTTTGTATCAAGCTGAATAGCAAAATAATGTTGAGAGATCAATATCTTCGTCGATAGCATAACCTCTAAAGTTGGAGCATCAATATGCTTATGAGGCTCACTAGTTATGTCGTTCGTGTCATGTCTTACTCGCTACATGGCATGTCCGATCCCAACTCCGAAAACACTATATATATCACACATGCCATCCGAGGAGATGGTTCCAAGACGCATGGACAAGCATTCTCTCAAATGCCCATTTTCGCCTAGGGTTCTTACAATCATTTATCATATCTAAATGTCTATATTAGATAACATGCGCAACCAGTGGATCAAAACGACACTGTTTAGAGCATTTCGAACTAACTGATCATCTCCAATGTTATGAATGATTGAAACTCGATACCAACATTACATATTGTATTGTGAATACCACAATGATATGGATTGGTGAAGCACATTATTTTCTCACCATGTGGTTGGCCGTTGACCTTACAAAACCCTGTTATGTAGCATCATTTCCTATGTATTCGTTGACATTATGCATCTAGGCTCTCTTGCTTCTGTTCTTTTGTGCCATGGTCAACCCACCTAATTATTAGTGGAAATCGCAAACTGCCGCTGTCTTTTGTAACATGTACCGAAAGTTTGGAGTAGGACAGATTAACGCGGGTGGATGGTGGGTGGGTGGAATTAAAGAGAGCACTTAGACGAATGATAATTGCTTGACTCCTAATTAGACTTGGACACTAGGCAAAGTCAAAGCGCACTAATTCTAAAGAAGAAGGGGACGTCTTAAGTTAATACATTGTTAATACAAATTGATTAGTATGAAATAACTTTGATTATTGGAGTAGTACTTATGATAACTTTTGGGAAGGAAAGAAGTAATTGTGATCGTTCACATAACTTACATTGATAATGTTATGTATGTATTACGTACGTGGTTTGTTATTTTGATTGGTGAAAACGGGATTATTATATATGATACACCCGTTTCCACCTACAACATATGCATTAACTCGCGGTTAGGAATAAATCATGCGGATATTAGTCGCTCGTTAGTAATATCATCCGAGCTCGAGTAGAGCTCTTGAACTCATTAATGAGCCGAGCTCGAGTTAGACACAAGACAAGATTTTGGTAATCAAGTAAAGCTCGAGTTTGGCTCGTTTATTAACGAGTCTAGCTCAAGGTAAGTCAAACTCGACTAGAATCAATTATAGCCCTAATTACAACAACCATGAAACATCAAGATTCATAATGAAACATTTTGGTTTTATTTAGGGTAAATACAATTTAATATCCAAATCTTTCATTTTAAACAATATAATAGCCAAACCTTTTCGAAAACAATTTAATAACCAAATCGTCAACTTTTCGTTCGTTTGACCGTTAGTTGACACTTCAAAAAAGCTTTGTTTAGGGGAAATTGTCACAATACAACTTTATTTCTTGTTTTGGCATTGCAGATGACTGAATATTTAGATATTCTATACCATCATGGTGGAGTTATGGATTTCTCGGGTTTGGAACTACGATATGTTGGTGGTTTTTCAGAGAAGATATCGATGGATATTGATGAAGTGTCGTACTTCAAACTTTTTTGAAGTGTCAACTAACGGGCAAACAGACAGAAAGTTGACGATTTGGATATTAGATTGTTTTCGAAAAGGTTTGGCTATTATATTGTTTAAAATAAAAGGTTTGGATATTAAATTGTATTTACCCTTTAATTTATATATATATATATATTTTTTAAGAATGGTTTTATTTCTATTTTTTATGAAACGAAATTGGCCTTGTTGTATTAGAAGAATATACTTATCGATACAAAAAAAGGTTTTGTGTCTTTCTCAATCTCACGTGGATGCCAATATATAAAGCAGGCCAGGCAGCACTACTGCCCGAACCCCTGCCCGAGAAGCATCAAAACCACCATAAAACGAGCACGTCGCCGGCTTCAGTGGCTGAGGATATCCGGGCAGGAACCACAAAACCACCGCGGGCAGCATTCCTGGCCGCCGTAAATATCTAGAAAAAAACCAGGTGCCAGCCTGGCCCCGCGATTTAGATATTTTCTCCAGCCAATCAGCTGCCAGGTATAGATCCGGGAAGCGTTTCGGCCGGCGACCCGACCCGACTCGGTACGCCCGCGGGTCGTTGGCTTTAACGCCCGCCGTTAGATATCTCTTTGCTTCCTCCGCCGCACGATTGATGATGGGATACATAATTCAATTGTCATGCATGGTTTTCACACCCCCCAAATATGCTCATGATTAAAGCTTAATCATCTTTAATCATAATACAAATTTCTTCCCAATATGATCCCAAAATTAGCTAATAATTTGAAGTTAAATTCTTTTTCTGATTTATTATGGACATCATATAGTGATGACAATGAGACGGGTGATACCTCAATATTCATATTTGTCACACATACCTAGTGCGGATCAGGTCGGATAATATTCGTGTGGGTATGAGTCGGGGGCAAGTCAGAAACTCATTCTTATATATATAATTTGAAGAAACTATTTATTTATTTATTTATTTATTTTCTTAACGATGAATACAAAAGGAACGTAGTTCATAAATGAAAACATAGATAATATGTAGATTAATTGAGAAAATTAGTTGAAAGATGAAGTCTTTCACTTATCTAAAGTATTGTTGAGTGAAATATGAATTTAAGTCAAGTAAATATACAAGAACTGCAATCGAATATTTGATACAGATCAAGATATAATAACAGGTCAAATAGCGAGACGAGATGAGTCAGAACATGACAAAAGTAGTACTCATGTCCTGTCCCACGCTATTACAGCTCCGATATTATCCACTTTAATACATATAAGAGGTCAGGTTATACCCGACGAGGCGGGTTCAAATTGCCATCACTACCGTCATGATTAGCTGGTTAGCGTTGTTAGAATATGATTGGAGGAAGGATAGTTGGTGTCGTGGAAGAGAAGAAGAAGTAAATTAAAGAAGAATCTAGAACGACAAAAACCCAACCCCCAAAGGCCAAAAAGCTAGGTAATTAGAAAAAGTCTGGAAGTTTTCATAAGTGGGAGGTGAATGTCGGTCGCCCCCACCTCTCCATTAAACCCTATTAATTAAGCCCTAAACATTAATTAATTAGCTGAATCACCACTACTAAGTGGACTGGAAACTATTGGCTAGGGGACAGGATACGGTGACAACCCCCTTGAGGGTTGTCAGATTCACAACCACCTTTGTGGCCATCGGATACGTTCTCTCTCCTGTCTTTTTCTTCTTTTTTTAAATTAATGGTTAAGATTAAACCAAGGGCAAATTCGGAATGGAAAACTTACCACATGAGATCCTTTCCATTTTCCATATAAATACTTTTTATTACCAAAAAAAAAAAAAAAACAGACCCTCTCACATTCTCCTGCGTCTCCCTCCTCTTCCCCTCTTACATATCTCTAACAAAAAAACCCTAGCCGTCAAGAGCTCCACCACCGTCGCCGCCTCTGCCTCCCCTGCCGCCGCGCCGCTGTCCTCCCCTCGCGCCCCGCCCCGCCGCTGTCCTCCCCTCCCTCTTCCTCTCCCGTGCCCACCGTTCACAGCCTGCTGTCCCCGCCATCATGATCGAGATCTACGCCGCCGCCTGGCTCCGCGACGTCCAGATCGGCTCCGTCCGCGTTCTCATCAGCAACGTCCAGATCGACGTCCAGATCGTCTCTACACCAAGCTCTCTGCCTCCGGCGTCGGCTTCAACGACCTCCTCGACGCCAAGGCCACCGCCGGGGGTGCGAAGAATCTCGATGAGAAGACCGCCAATGCTAGTGGTACTAATTCCTATTGGTACGATACCACTACTCACTGGTACGTACCAGTGGCTCCCCTACCACTACTCACTGGTACCACTATCATCTGGTACCACTATCATCTAATACCACTATTATCTGTTTTTTTGTGTTATTCTCTACTGGTACCGCTACCAATGCTAGTGGTAGCGCTACCAGTGCTAGTAGCGTTGTGTTATTCTCTACTGGTAGCGTTGTACTGGTAGCGTACCACTAGTATTGGTACATTTTTTACTGGTACCGCTAGTACTGGTACATTTTTTAACGTACTGGTAGCGTACCACTAGCACTGGTATATTAATTACCAGTAGACTAATATATTGGTACACTTTTTAACGCATTGGTACATTTTTTCAGGTTGCCGGAGGGAGTCTGCCGGAGAGAATTCGCCGGAGAAAAAGTTTGTCAGTCGATGCGGAGTGGCTGCTGGAGAAAGGAAAAGAGAGAGAGATAGATAGAGATATTAATGTATAAGATTTAAATTTCAGAAAAAATTGTATTTAATATGGGTATTAAATTCCCAATATAATTAATACAAAAAAGGTAATTAATATATTCATTTTTTTCATACCCAAAATATCCTTGGTTGTGAATCTGACAACCCCAAGGGGGTTGTCACCGTATCCTGTCCCATTGGCTAGCTATAATTATTAATTAGCCTCGACTTAATTATTATTACGCTTAAAGTTTAGACTAATGCTCTTTGCCTCTTTCCTTTCACTACTTACATTTGATAAGGTTTTCTCTCCTGTTATAAAATTGTGCTAAAGAGACATGCATGAGTATGAACGGTTAACCATAATTAAGCTAACTGACAGCACGAGGACGATGACACACATAAATCGAGAAATCACGGAGAATTCCTGGTCAATACTTCAGCATAGGGTGCTCATCAACACTTCAACAGCACGGTGAATGTGTCAAATCAACAAGAAACTTAGTACTTCCCGGTTTTCCGTCTCCGATCGTTTTGTATTTTGACGGTTTCGATTGTGGGTTTAAAACCGGGAAACTTATATAAGAAATCGAAACTCATTCTTTGTTAAGGGGTGATGCATGGCTTGTAAGGTTGAATTGTTTGGCGCACACTCTCTCTCAGTTCGGTGTTAATCGATTTCTTTATATCCAAACCAAACCGTTAAGATCTCTGTTTTAGAGGAACGAACATTTTCGATTTTTTCGTCTTAATTACGGGGTTGTTTGGAAGTTGCGATTGTTAAATAGATGTATTGTTGAGAATGCATGTATAATATTATACATGTATTGTCGAATTTGATGCATTGTAGAATACAACGTTTGGTATGTGTGATTGTGTATGTCGCATCAGCTAAAAACTAAGACAAAACAATCTCAACTCAACTATCTCAACAATCACAACTAAAAGTAGAGATATAACAATAACTCAAAATGAGTGGTAGTTTCTGTCACATCACAGAAACAATCCATGTATTGTTTCTACTAAAAAAACAAAAAAACCGATGCATTGTAAACAATACATGCATAATGACAATCTCAACAAAACAATCGCAACTTCCAAAATCACCCCAACGTTTCGATTAACCGAACCGTGTCGGATATATATGTCGCAATCTCTGGTCTCATAATCAAAATGTCACTGCTTGCTGAGGCGGCTAGCTGCACCCGTGTCCAATCATTCCACAAACCCTAACTTCCATGGACGGCCGCTGGATTGCTATCTGTAGGTCCCTTGTTACGTCGTTTATATAGCGATCGTAACATAATATAATCATGTTTCGCTTGCATTATTATTAGTTAATTACGTTGATGGGCTGATTAAGCCCTCTGTCGTCGTCTTTAGAGCTAGTTAATTAGTTGGCGAATGAAAAATATCATCGCAATATAGTAATAGTATAGAGATGCAAATGGTCGGTTTGATCGATTAGTTGAACATATTTGTTTATTAATGGTGTGTTCTTTAATTCATAAATAGGTGGTAGATGTGTATATATGATTCAATGGTAGGCATCATTGATCCGATATGAAGTAAAAAAAAAAAAAAAACAAGAGTCAGTAATTTTTGTGAGAAAGTAGTGGGATAAGATTTATAATTGCACTTTTCTTAATATCTTGAGTCAGTAGAATCATTTTGTTTTTGACATATGACATCGGAGTGTGATTTGATCAAGAGTTCTCTCGTGTTTAATTAAGTCACCACAGTTCGATATCCGTAAAACACATGATACAGTGAATGTATGCAAATTTCAAGTCCGTGACTTGGATTTCATTTGAGGGGGAGGAAGAGGAAGAAAAAAAAATGATGTAAAAATACATATTTGGACCTCTCTCGGAACTTTCTTCAACAACCTTCGTGCCCTGTTTTGATGAATTCTTTGACATCCCCTCAGGGGGCCATATGCTCCATTGAGTTGCTTGATCAATGATAGGTTCTTCCCATGCTGCTAGAGTGTACTATATATCTCTATTGTTTAACGTGGTCCTTATAGACGACACTTTTGGTCGTCGTGCAAACACGAGCCTGTAGGTTGTCTGGTAAGAGTGTTCTTTTATGTTTTTTTCTTCTTAATTTTACAGGTTTGAATGAAGATTCAAGAAGGCGCAAGGAGGGTGTTGGAACCTTACCTAGTGTCTAGTTCATCTAGGCATCGCTTAAACCTAGCTAGATTCTAAGAATGTGCGAGGAAGGTATTGGAATCATGACACGCGTATCGAGTTCGCTTAGGCGTGGGCTAAGTCTGGATAGATTCTAAGAAGAAAAAAAAAGCAACTTGAACAACATGATGAAATAACAACTTAATTAAAACACTTCCCCATTGAAGTAAAAATAACTCACTAAGTTTACAAAGTAATAATAGCTATACCATGGCCAGGGATGTTTGGATACGAAAGCTTAAAAAAGGAGTGGTCGAAAGGAAGAGATGCTACTGAGTGAAAAGAGCCACAGATATCCATGTCAGTCTCGTGGAGCAAGGAACAGCCCTTTACTTCTTATCTTTATATTTGCCAATTGCTCTTGAACGTACGTAACTGCATGTATACAGGGCCAACGGCCCATGCAGTTACGAATTTCGTACAACCGTGTATGATCGAGATGTCTTATGTTCGAATTGGCACAATACCTGATATTTCAACCGTTGATTTAAGCCCATGGATGGGCCAGAAAATAAAAATGGTATGTTAACATCTATTTTTCACCTTGGGGACGTCGGCCCACGGAGCTGAGAATTTGTTGTGCCGGGGCGAGGAACACATATGGGCTTCAAATCATCCAAGCCCAATTCATCGGAGCCCACGCCTCACTTCTCTCAACTCGCACGTGCAACAGCTCCCTCCACGTGCGGGTAAGAAGCATCCAGTCGTTCGACGATCAATGAATCCGAAGAAAAAAGAAAGACGCAAAAGGAAAGGGAAAGTCAGAAAGCAGTAACCTGGGGGAGATCGGAAGAGACTGTGATCGACCGTTTCTCAGATTGCCGGGGAAAAACCTCCAAAATGGTGTAACCTACCTGTTGAAGCTCAGCTCCTCAATGAAGCTCCTCGTCGGTGTTCTCTTTTCCTTCTTCCTCGCTCTTCCTTCCGCCGTCGCCAGAGGCGGCGAACGCGGTGGCACTCTCTCAGGTCCGCCTCTCTCTCTCTCTCTCTCTCTCCGTCTGCGTTTCGTTTGTATTGAGTCTGAATCGAATTGTGGGCATATGGTTGTCGATGGACAATTATGCATTTCTGATGATGAATTAGTCGGTTAATTGTGGAGCTTAAGCAGCAAATGATGAAGTTTGTAGTTTGCGTCATTTTCCTATTTGGAGCATAAATCCGGGAGGATTGAATAACAGATGTAGTTTCGATATATGTAGGAAAGATAGTAACAGGTATCCTTTTCTTTCTCTGTTTCCCGTTGAAAATGACTTGGATCTAGAGCTTGGTCATCACTGTATTTTCTTCTGTGGTGTTTATTCGTTTGTTTGAAGAGTATGAGAATGATAGGAGCAATGTGGCTACTACTAAAGCGCGGGTTTTGCTTGAAGATGAGAAGTCACCGAACAAGTAATGCCGATTTGGCTTCCTAACACTGAAATTTAGTTAATTCTGCGGTATTTACCTTGTTTCTAGAGGATTGAAAATTTTGGGGGGGTTCTAAAAAATGCTTCCAGGATTGCTAGAGCTCGTGGGTACATGACGAACTCGGATCTCGAGAAGGCGGTGAAGGATTTTGGGCGAAGATGTAGCAACATTTCTAGGATATACAGGTAGTCCCTGATAAGATCCTGTAGTCTTTTTTTTTTTTTTAATAAATTGGGTAATAATACTTGGTTAGATGTTAACAAGTTGTTAGCTTTGAGGTGATGCAACTGATTTTTTATTATGGTTTGTTTCTTTGAGGGGTTCTCTGGATTCAGCATTGGAGAGAGTGTGAATGGAGTTCCACTGGTAATACTTTTGCTGAAGTTAGTTCCACACTTCATCTTCCCTAGTTACATCTCCTTTTCCTCTTTAAGCCATGTGGTCTTATTGAGAAAGTAATTTTCACACAATTTGAATTCTCTCAAATTTCTAAATGATCTTTTGTTTCTCCATTTTCTTTAGTGGGTAATAGAAATTTCTGATAAGCCTGGGGAAGAAGAGGGCGAGCCTGCGTTCAAGGTAATTGATGTAGTATCATCTAACTGGATGCTGAAGTTCTAGCTTATGTGTTCCTCTGATAAGCTTCAATGTCTACTAAAAGTTTCATTATACATTTATATAAATATCTCAATTCCTATGGTGCATATTTTCCTTGTCATCATTTGTCAAGCTTGGCTTGTGTTTTATTTTATTTCCATAGTTGTTCTCACTTTCTGCAGTATATTGGAAATGTTCATGGGGATGAACCTGTTGGGCGTGAACTTCTTATTCGGTTAGCTAATTGGATATGCGACAACCATTTGAAGGATCCTCTGGTATTCTCATTTCTACTCTGATATGTACTTTTGGATCTCCTTTACCACATAGCCTGCTAGATTTGATCCCAGTTTTTATCTTTACAGGTCAGATCAATTGTGGAAAATAGTCACCTTCATATTCTTCCATCAATTAACCCTGATGGGTTTGCATTACAGAGGCGCGGTAATGCAAAAAATATTGATCTGAATCGTGATTTTCCTGACCAGGTAAGACATCCTTTTCAGGAAAATATCTTGCAATTAGCTGAATAAGTTAAATTGAAACAGCTCACATATGTGTGCTTTAATAGCTAATAAGTTTTGAGTCCTTCTATATACCCCAAAAGAACTTCTTAAGTCACAGTTGAGACTATTTCAAAATTGGTGCATTAGGTATCAATTATCATAGAGAAGAAGCAAGACAGTGCAATTTGCTCTGACACATTCCTATTTTATCTTGATTGTTTGGCACTGAGCAAATCTTTTTCAACTTCATGTAACATGTCTTCAAAAGATGCCAGGCCATTAATCACGCTTATAGTCCATACTGAAACTTGTGGTCAAGTAAAGATACAACATTGTGTTACTTCAAACTCAACTAGAAATATATATTGAAGTTTTGGTCAGGATGGTTCAGCCCAGCTTTTCATCTTCCATACTGTAGACTTATGTCAAAATACTCTTGATCACATTAAATGCAGTTCTTTCCTCTGAATGACGATATACATACGCGTCAACCTGAAACAGCAGCAGTTATGAAATGGCTGAGTGAGATACGTTTTACAGGTTCTGCAACTTTGCACGGGGTAAGATTTCATTATCATTTATGATTTTTCCGTTCGTTATAATTTAGGAGTTATTTATTACTCAATCATATCATGCACACCAGTTAAAGAATTAGACTTATTAAGGGCCTTTGTCTTGGCTAAAGCAAGTTTGTTATCATGTGACTGGACTTCGTCTTGCTCACTGTAGAGTGTAGACATTCTCAGCTTGTCTTGTCATTTTCAGGGTGCACTTGTTGCTAATTATCCATGGGATGGTACCAGTGATGGAAGGTAAATTTCTTTTATTTGAATGCATCTTCAGACTTATTTTTCAGTTAGGATAAATTTGGATTTTTCACCAAGAAGAGTTGAATTCTATACTGATGAACCTTTTCTTGCTCACACCCTGCTTTTGTGCTGGTGCTTTGTCTTTAGTTTTTGCCCCTCTGGTTCTTAGACTTTTTTCTCAAGTGGCTTTTTGCCCTGTACTCTTTTGTTGCCTTTCTTTCTTGCTCAATCTTTTTTGTTGTTGTTGTTGCATTCTTGTGTAGCTAGTAAATTTATAGCTTTCCGCATGATACCTGATGTGACTCTTTGAGTAAATGTTTTCTTTGCCATAAAATAGAACTCCAGGGCTACTTCTATTATCATTGAAATGATCTCTTTGTCTCGCTTAATTTACCATGTTTGTGCAATCATATACTTACACTTTATGAAGTGATTAATAAAGTTACCTTATGAGTATCATCTGGTTGGCAGAGGGTTTATGTTTGACTTATTGATGTGCTCTTGTTTCTCTGATTTCCAAATTCAGGAAACATTATTATTCATGCCCGGATGATGATACTTTCCGGTTCCTGGCGAGCACTTATAGTCAATCTCACCGTAACATGTCTTTGAGCACGGAGTTCCCAGGGGGCATAACAAATGGAGCATTTTGGTTGGTAGTTTCAGAACCTGCTATTTTTGTCACATTTCTTCAATGTTTCTAAGCAGAAGACTACATGAAAGGCAACTTGTTTACTAATTCAAGGAAATTTGAATTATTTTTTATTGACATTTCTTTTTTACCGCGCCATTTATTCTTTTCAACTTGTTTCTGAATTATACTCCAGGTATCCAATATATGGAGCAATGCAAGATTGGAACTATATACATGCTGGATGTTTTGAGTTGACCTTGGAAGTCAGTGATGATAAATGGCCAATGATTGATGAGGTTGATTCTCGTTCCCTAATCTGTTAGTTTATCCAAATGCTAACACATCAAGGTTCAGCTTGCCCCCTTCTTTCCATATGCTGTAACCAACGTTGCTTTATCTTTTGTCCTTTGTATTTGGACAGATTCCTACACTCTGGGAGCACAACAAAATGAGTTTGCTGAACCTTGCAGCTTCAGTTTTGAAGGTATGCTTGTGGTATTCATTTGTACGCAACAGAAGAAAAGAACTTAACCGAGTCATGTTTAGCTTCTAGAAGTAACCATATTTAAAAGTTAATACACAGAATGGTGGCTTACCAATCTTGTTATGGTTTTTGGTATTAGTAATTTCATGGGACATTAATAAGATCGGAATTGATGAAATTCTTTTTACATACTTATGGTGTTACCGTATTTATGTACCAATGTGTATGTCTCTCTTATAGACAGGAGTACATGGAAGGATCTTTGCCTCGGATTCTGGAACTCCTTTGCCTGGATTTATCACCATCAAGGGAATAAACTACACGGTATAAGCCTATCATCTGTTCCACTTTCCTTCTTCTTCTTTCAGTTATTCCCGGTGGTTCGATTGAAGGTCTTTGTGTTATTGTCTGTGCTGAAACTGTTGTGGAGTAGGTTTTCCCAAGCACATGTAGCTCCCATTTTGCTCCAAGACCTTGCTTTTATGTATTGTTGTTAATATGTTCAAGCCTCTTGCCAAATTGCCTTTCCTTTATGACTTTCTTCTGTGCTTTTGGTCAGCTTTGACAGGCAAATGACTAATGCAAATGCTAAGTAGATCGATGGATCATCAACTCTTTGTAGTTTAGGGGCTTATTTTAGTTGGGACAGTGGTAGCATGCTTTAAACAGCAATAGGTAAACCATTACTCATACAACGTGTGTTGAATGTGAGTGTCAAGAGTCTGGCTTTTCAACTCATTTTCTCCAGCTTTCCTTTTCTTTTTGCCGTCATTCCATCTTATGCATGACCATTCATGTACATTGAAGCTATCTTGACTTAAGAACTGTCTATCTGTCTTGTTGCACTGTGAGTTTAAACAAGTGTTTTGTCCCTAATCTTCCTTTTGCAGCTTTTAAACTTTATTCATTCATAGGAACTTTGTTTGATAGGTTAATGCTGGAAGAGCATTTGGGGATTATCATCGGCTGCTTGTCCCCGGAGAGAGATATGAAGGTATCTTCAGTTTCATACATTCAGTTTGGCTGAACCACAGTCCTACTAGGTCTAGGTTAAATATAGACAGAACTTGACCCAATTTCAGATTTCACCAAAGGTCTTTTTGAGTGGTAAAGTTTCACCAAAATCTTTCAAGTTTGAACCTTAACATGAACACACAACGCAAACAAGGATACATTGACTAACTCTTTAGTACCCTAAACTTGTACTCCGGTAAGTGCATGATTATCTTTGTGTATTTGTGCTTGTAGTTATGGCCACTATGCCTGGGTATAAATCCAAGATGACAACCATATCATTAGGAGAGACAGCCATGACAGTGGATTTCATTCTCGATCCAGAGACCACAACCAAGCGGTATCTATGGAGAACTTCTGGTTGCAATTGTGGCGGCAGCAGCAGCAGCAGCAAGTTTGGCTTCGAAATGTTCTGGACGCTTCACTTCGAAGTTTATGTTGTTATCATCATATTGTTATTTTGGTTTCTGATAAGGAGGAGATTGAAATCCAATCTCTCAAACGATAAACAGCATGCAGCACGAAGTTCCTTACTTCCTGCATAAGCAACTTGTAGTCAACTTGTACAAGTTACCTCTGTGACATAGCAAAATAGTCAAAATACACTCTTACCTGTTCTTCACTGATCAATGTTTAGCCTTCAAAACAGTCTCGATATAGAATTTACCAATCTTAGACATACTGTGTAACAGATATTTTTGCGAACAATTTCCAAGTGTATCACTTAACCAGTAAACCTGGATTGTTAATTTAATTATTCTCATTTTATGGTTGAATTGTATGATTTCGATTTTACGCAATCTTCTACTAACTACATCTACAATGAGGACCTCCAATAATAAAGCATTTGAAGTTTGAACATTAACTAGAAAGCTTATCATAACATGCAATGCTATAATTAAGAATGTAACAATTAACCGAAAGAAAAGGAGTCAATAGCCTGGGAGTCTGGAGTGTTGTAAGATCCAAGACTCTTTGTCAGTTTATATAAAGTTTAAGGCGGTTTCTAGAGCCGCCAACACTACTGCTCATAGAATGGCACGTAAAGCATCTCTTTTGTCTCTCCTCGAATTAGAGTCTTTCAGACTTTATTGAGTGGCGTCACTAGGATGTCATTTGTAGGGGTTTCCCGGGTAGTTTTGTTTGTATAACTCTTGTCATCTCTTGATACACGTGGAAATAATAAAAAATTATCAAGCCAAAAACTACAAAGTTAATTAGAAAGAAGAAGATCTATACTATTTTCATAAGCTTATGGCTCTCAATTATTATTTTTTATTTGAAAAATTGAAAATAAATAAAGACTACTTAATTTTCCATGACCTATTCTGATTTGAGCTAATTGTTTGAAAGATAATAATTTTTTTTATTAAAAAATTTTTCGTAAACAATTGTTTTATATAGATTTACTCTGGTGCCTTCTCTGGGTACAACCGCCGTCACGGTGAGCAGGTAGTCGTTGCCGCCGGTCACATTTTCGAATTCGCCTCTCTCCACCTTCAAGAGTTCCAGTGGGGGACGGTCGGAAACTTGTTCATTGTAAGCCTGCACGGCAAATCGAGCAATCTCCTTGATGTGCTCGTCGTTCAAGTTTCTGATCCGTTGCCAGTGCGGAGCTAGGATTTCGAGACCGGGGGAATAATTAAACAAAAAATATGTTGCCTAAGTGGATCGAACCCGTGTGCATTAAAACATCCAACTTGACTACCATAAGGTCACATTACTATTACATGATAGAACTAACAGAACAAGTTAAACTTATAAAATTTGTACTAAATATATTTAAGATCATAGGGGGGCGCGGGGCCCACCCTATATTGAACGTAGCTCCGCCCCTGGTTGCCACCAACCCCATGTCAAAGTAGTGCCGGACAAGATGGCTAGAAAGGTAGTCATGGTAACGAGAAATGTAACATTCTTCTTCTTCTTCTTCTTCTTCTTCGTAGAGTGGTTATTATTTTTTTCTCAAGATTTTTTTTTTATTTGTGTGTTTGGATGTGAGGGGAAGTGTAATTGTGGTGTGTGCATTTATAGGCTACAAGACATGATTATGATGATAATTTATTTTTGAATTAGGTAACAAATTCATTGCTATTAATGGTTGGCATCTTTTTATTCGCTCGTATGTTTACTTAGACCATTGACTATCCTTTTCTATCGTTGTTCGTTACATTCTTTGTTACAAACATTACATATACAATGTGATAAGGTTTCTAGTTAACAGCTTCACATTAATATGTTTCAATATCTAAGTTCCCAATTACATATGTGATTAATCAAAGATTGCGTAATATCGAAATCATATTACGCGGTAGCCTCGTTCGGTGTGAATGAGACTTATCCACGAAAGGCTCACTCAAGGAGCCTTCGATGCTGTTGTTATTAGGTTTCTTGAAACAACTAACACACTTACACACACAGCCAAACTCGGCCACAACAACACCTATATATCCCTTCACGTCTATCTCCTAGGGTTATATGGTTAATTACCAAACACTAGCCATACTTCTATAACATGGACACTATCGAGTATAACACTGCACTCGATACACAACAGTGTCCTACAACACTCCCCCTAAAGAGAAGGAGTGAATGTCGTGAAGTCCGAGCTTGCCACTAAGAACTGCGAACTGCTCCGCTCCTAACCCCTTTGTGAATATGTCGGCAACCTGATTGGTTGTGTGAATCTTCTTTGGCGCAACTTCTCCCGAGTCACACACTCATTAACGAAATGACAATCCATTTCCACGTGCTTCGTTCTTTCATGGAAGAGGAGTGGCGCTAGGAGTGGACACGCCGAGTTCACGAAGTAACCACCGTAACCATATAACTTCACTAACTATAACTGTCATTTCACGATATTCAGTCTCTGCTGAATATCGAGCCACAACCTGCAGTTTCTTGGTCCTCCAGAAGATCGGACTATCACCCAGGCGAACGAAGTAACCAGTAGTAAAATGTCTAGTCTGCAAATAACCTCCCCAGTCCGCATCACAGTATGCATTCAGACGGAGATCTCCATCAGATTGCACGAACAAACCCTTCCCTGGCGCTTCTTTTACGGTCATCTCTAAAAAGCAAGTCTCCAAATCTCGTAGTGGTTTGAGATTAATTTGTCAATACGAGGCCTTTTGATAAGATACCTAGTAGCAAATTTGTGCGGGTTAAGTCAGAAGAGAACAATATTGTACTAATGTGGAGCTATCTGGTTCCGACAAGTGGTATAAGAGTTTGGTTAGGTTTCAGGTAAACATTTATCTGGAAGAGCAAGTGGAGATATGTTTCACCAACACGGTTGATCCCATCAGTAGTAGTATGCAGTGGTATTTTGTGTATCTTGTAAGGATCGACCTCAATTGAAAATGCATATATCAATAAATTCCGTAGTTGTGTTTCTATATGACGATAAAGATGTCAAGGTTGACAAGTTAGTCTGTAGGTTGAACTTTCCTAGAGAACATAAGGTGATCAACGGTCTAAATTCATTGGTTAACTCCAAATAACAGTTACTTGCAGTTAACACCAAGTCATCGTAGCAAAGTCTTATTAATTATTATGTAGACATTAAAATCTTTTGATTTTATAATTAGGTTCTATTATCCCATTTTTATCGTGAATTCAATTTTACTCGTTCCTACATATATACATAATTAAAAATCTCGGGGAAGAAAAATAGGAGTATTAGTTGAAGAATCTTATTATAACACAAAATATAACAAATAACCGAAAGGAAAGGAGAGTAAAAAAACTAAGTAAACAAAAAAAAACAAAAACAAAAAAGAGATACAAACCAAGGATAATTGCAAAAGTTTACCTATTTTGCATATAAATATTATTATTACAATCATATTACAAAGCCTATAAATTCACACCACAAATAGTCTTGCCTCACATCCAAACAGAGCAACAACACAAATCTTGAAGATAATTAAGAATCAATTACTAAAAGGATGAGGCCAATTACCTTTCTCGTCGCTATGACCACTGTTGCTGTCATCTTGTCTACCACCAATGCGACATTTGGTGGATGGGAATGGGAGCCGATAAAGAACTTGAAGGATGAGCATGTCAAAGAGATTGCCGAGTACGCAGTGGAGGCTTACAATATGATATCTAATTCTTTCCCGATACAACTCGTGAAAGTCGAGAAAGGAAAAATCCGATATGCCGGTGGCACGAACTACAAGCTCGTCGTGGCGGCGGTTGTACCGGAAACGGGGAACATGGTAAAACTATACGAAACCGTTGTCCATGAGAATATTTTTTATGGAAAGAAAGTTGTATATTTCAGACAGTTGATCAAATCAGCACCGACCCCTAAAACTTAGTAGCTTTTATTTTGAAGTTTGTTAAATAAAATTATGAATAATAGATAGCCAAAAGCTTATGGAAGTATACATTTGCCTCCCTTGCAGTTACATTCGTAGTTTTTATTCTAGTGATTGGTATAGTACAACTATTGACTTCTTTCTCCTTTTGCATTCATTTGATCATTGATATTTAGGACATGCAAAATGGTAATGACAGTGAAATCCCTTTCATCGTCGAATCATGTGTTCCAATGTTTAAAACTCTCAATATTAACTGTTGATTAACCCACATGTTATAATGGACCTATGCAAACTTCAAATATGTGAATCCATTTCGTTTGAAAGGACATATAAGAAAGTGATATCTAATTCATAATTAACCTTCTTCATACCACTCAAATAATTGGGACGAACGAATTTATCACTCTTCTTTCCTCACTCGTTGGCTAGAAATAATCTTTGGTCAGAAAAGCAAAGATCACAATGGAAGGCTGTTATGAAGTTCATCGACTACCCTTAAATTCTGCCCATTCCAGTTATATATTCTATACGAAAGAGAGAAATCTTCAAAATAATAAAGGACCTTTATTATTATGGGTCATATATATGACCTATTATTTGGGCATATTTGACAATTCAAAATCTATCTGCCGTTTTTAAGATTTGAATAATCCATAAAATGGAAATAGTCTACCTATTAGAGAAGGTTCTTTTGACCTTGTAACCAATATTGTTTGGTCCTTGCTCATCTCTGAAAATAAGTCTCCAAATTTCGTAGTGGTTTGACAATAATGTATAAATACAAGGCCTTTTGAGAAGATACATAGAAACAAATTCGTGCGAGTTTAGTCAAAATCGGACAATATCGTACTAAAGTGGAGCCATCTGGTTTAAACAAGTGGTATAAGAGTTTGGTTCGGTTCGGTTTCAGGTATGCATTTGTCTGGCAGAGCAAGTGGAGATATGTTTCACTAGAATGGTTGACTGCATCAGTATTAGTATGTAGTGGTATTTTGTGTGTCCAGTAACGATCGACCTCAATTGAAAATGCATATATCAATAAATTTCTTGGTTGTTTTTCTGTATGACGATAAAGATGTCGAGGTTGACAACGTTAGTCTGTAGGTCGAACTTTCCTATAGAACATAAGGTGATGAACGGTCTAAATTCATTTGTTAACTCCGAAAACCAGTTACTTGCAGTTAACACCAAGTCACCGTAACAAAGTCTTATATAAACCCAAGTAAGTGAATAAAATCTTAGGTAAGCACAAAAAATCAATAGAGGATGACAACCGTTAATAGTAAATAAAATCTTACATATTTTATTGATAAAACATCATTGTAATATAATTGTTAAATCCAACCCCTTAAGCAATCTTGAATATGAACCCACAGAAGTGAACATTATATGACAAGAAATTGCTTCCATTGTGGTCACAAATTCGCCATACTTATCAATAATCACACAAGTGATAGTGGGAGGGTGATTTCGAGGTGATCGTCATCCATATTCGGCAAGGTGTCCTTAAAAATTTATTTGGTAAGTCTGGTGCTCCGGGAGCATCGTCAAATCCTAACCACTTTGTCAGTTTGTATAGAGTGTATGGTCGTTCTTGCCCATGAAATGGCGCGTAAAGCATTGCTTTTGTCTCTCCCAGAATTAGAGTCTCTCGACTTTATTGGGTGGTTTCACTAGTAGGGGGTTCTTGGGTAGTTTTGTTTGTATAACTCTTGTCCTCCTGATATCACTCGAAGAAAAAAAAATTTACCAAGCCAAAAGACTACAGAGTTAACTAGAAGAAGAAAAAAAAATCTATATTATTTTCATAAACTTATGGCTCTCAATTTTTTTTATTGACAAATGGAAAATAAAAAGACTACTAAATTTTCCATGAACCTAATATGATTAGAGCAACTTCTTGAAAGATAATAGTTTCTTTTGATTACCAACATTCTCGTAAACAATTGTCTCATATAGATTTACTCTGCTGCCTTCTCTGGGCACAACCGCCGTCAATGTGAGCAGGTAGTCCTTGCCGCCGGCCACACCTTCGAATTGGCCGCTCTCCACCTTCAAGAGTTTCAGTGGTGGACGGCGGCCGGAAGCCTGTTCGTCGTAAGCCTGCACGGCGAATCCAGCAATCTCCTTGACGTTCTCGTCGTTCAAGTTCTTGATCGGTTGCCACGAACCCCATGAAGCTGTAGTGGTAGACAAGATGGCTAGAAAGGTAGTCATGGTGACGAGAAAGGTAATATTCTTCATCTTCTTAGTAGAGTGAATGCTTAATCAAATTTTTTTTCCTTCAAGATTTTGTTTTTGGTGTGTTTCGATGTGAGGGGAAGTGTAATTGTGGTGTGTGCATTTATAGGCTATAAGACATGATTATGATAATAATTTTAGTCTTTAAATTAGGTAACAAATTCATTGCTATTAATGGTTAACATCTTTTTATTCGTTTGTATGTTTACTTAGACTATTGACTCTCCTTTTCTATCGCGATTATTCACTACATTCTTCGTTACAACATCGCACATACAACGTGATAACGACTAATAAGGTTTCTAGTTAACAGCTTCACATTAATATGTTTCAATATCTGAGTTCCTAATTACAAATGTGATTAATCGAAGATTGCATAAAATAGAAATCATACAATTCGGCGAGAATATTTAATTTACAATGTAATAATTAACTCTATATTATTATTTATTAATATATCGATACCAAGGGACAACTAACATTGTTCATTATGAGATTGTTGCTATTCTAATAGACTTAGTTTGAGAAAAACAAATAGTAAACAACAACGAGACAAAGATTTACGTGGTAGTCTCGTTCGATGTGAACGAGACTAATCCACGGAAGGCTCACTCAAGGAGCCTTCGATACTACTGTTTGTGAAACAACCAACACACTTACACACACAGCCGAACTCGGCCACCACCCATACTTCTATAACACTGACACTATCGACTAGGGTTATATGGTTAATTACCAAACACTACCCATACTTCTATAACATTGACACTATCGAGTATAACACTGCACTCGATACACAACAATGTCCCACAATACTCCCCCTAAAGTGAAGGAGTGAAAGTCGTGAAGTCCGAGCTTGCCAATGAGAACTGCGAACTGCTCCGCTCCTAACCCCTTTGTGAATATGTCGGTAACCTGATAATTAGTTGTGTGAATCTTCTGTGGCGCAACTTCTCTCGAAGTCACACACTCACGAACGAAGTGACAATCCATTTCCACGTGCTTTGTTCTTTCATGGAAGACGAGTGGCTCTAGGATTGGGCACGCCAAGTTCACGAAGTAACCACCATAACCATATAACTTCACTAATTGTAATTGCCATTGCACGATATTCAGCCTCTGCTGAAGATCGAGCCACAACATGATGTTTTTTTGGTCCTCCAGGAGATCAGACTATCACCCAGGCGAACGAAGTAACCAGTAGTAGAACGTCTAGTCTGCAAACAATCTCCCCAATCCGCATCATAGTATGCATTCAGACGGAGATCTCCATCAGATCGCACGAACAAACCCTTCCCCGATGCTCCTTTTTAATATCATCTCTAAAAATAAGTCTCCAAAATTTCGTAGTGGTTTGAGATTAATGTATCAATACGAGGCCTTTTGAGAAGATAACTAGAAGCAAATTTCTGCGAGTTTAGTCAAAAGCGGATAATATCATACTAATATGGAGCCATCTACTTTCGGCAAGTGGTATAAGAGTTTGGTTTGGTTCGGTTCCAGGTAAACATTTCTCTGATCGCATTAGTAGTAGTATGTAGTAGTAGTTTGTGTGTCTTGTAACGATCGAACTCAATTGAAAATGCATATATCAATAAATTTCGTAGTTGCACGTATTTCTGTATGACGATAAAGATGTCAAGGTTGACAACATTATATTAGTCTGTAGGTCGAACTTTCCTAGAGAACGCACATAAGGTGATCAACTGTCTAAATTCATTGGTTAACTCCAAATAACAGTTACTTGCAGTTAACACCAAGTCATCGTAACAAAGTCTTATTAATTATTATGTAGATAATAAAATCTTTTGATTTTATAATTAGGTTCTGTGATCCAATTTTTATCGTGTATTCAATTTTAGTCGTTCCTACATATATACATAATTAAAAATTTTGGGAAGAAAAAATAGGAAAATTAGTTAAAGAGTCTTATTATAACACAAAATATAACAAATAGCCGAAAGGAAAGGAGAGTCAAAAGGCTAAGTAAACAACAAAACAGAAAAAAGATATACAAACCAAGGATATCTATTTTGCATGTAAATATTATTATTACAATCATATTACAAAGCCTATAAATTCACACCACAAATAGTCTTGCCTCACATCCAAACAGAGCAACAACACAAAATCTTGAAGATAATTAAGAATCAATTACTAAAAAGATGAGGCCAATTACCTTTCTTGTCGCTATGACTACTGTTGTTGTCATCTTGTCTTCCGCCAATGCGACCATTGGTGGATGGGAGTGGGAGCCGATAAAGAACTTGAAGGATGAGCACGTCAAAGAGATTGCCAAGTATGCAGTGGAGGCTTACAATATGATATCTAATTCTTTCCCGATACAACTCGTGAAAGTCGAGAAAGGAAAAATCCGATATGCAGGTGGCACGAACTACAAGCTCGTCGTGGCGGCGGTTGTACCGGAAACGGGAAACATGGTAAAACTATACGAAACCATTGTTCGCGAGAATATTTTTAATGCAAAGAAAGTTGTATATTTTAGACCGTTGTTCAAATCAGCACCGATCATTAAAAATTAGTAGCTTTTAGTTTTAAGTCTGTCAAATAAAATTATTAATAATGGATAGCCATAAGCTTATGGAAGTATACATTTGCCCTCCTTGCAATTAAATTAGTAGTTTTATTTCGGTGATTGATATAGCCCAATTATTGACTTATTCTCCTTTTGCATTTATTTGATAATTGATATCTAGGACAAAATGGTAATTACAGTGCAATCCCTTATATCATCGAATCATGTTTGTTCGTCTTTAGATTGTGATTCAATTCACAGACTTGAAGTTAACTAAGGAAACCTTGACCAACAAAAGGGTGGAATCTGATCCCTTTGATAAATCAAAAGATAAAGTAATAGTGTCGAGTCATTGGGATTAATTGCTTTATAACATGCTATCAGTGTTTGTATGACTAAGTAATCGTGTGTTCAAATCTCGACAACTAAATGTTGATTAAACCACGATTTAGGATGGATCTGTGTAAATTTCAAGTCCGTTAATTATCTTTCGTTTTAAGGAGATATAAGAAAATGGTATATAATCTATAATTAAACTTCTTCCTACAACTAGAATTATCGAGACAGTTTATCACTCTTCTTCCTGACTTGTTGGCTATCTTTGGTCAGAAGCAAAGAACAAAATGTAGGGTTGTTATGTGGTTCATCGACTACCCTTAATTCTGTACTCGTCAACATTTCTTTCGTGAGAATAAAGTTCCATTATTATTATGGGTCATATATATGACCATTCAATACGATATAGCAAGAAAATTTCCACTTCGAACGGTTCTAACCATCTGAGACCCTAAGGTAAGCTTTTCTGAGTTGATAAACTATTCAAGTTATGGGAAGACATATATGACCTATATGTATCAATACGTAGTCTTTTGAGAAAATACTCAACATCAAATTCATGCGAGTTCAACATCATACTAACCTGGAATTATCTGGTTTCGTTAAGTGGTATCATAGTTTGGTTCGGACCTAGGGCGGTAAACTTCAGAGTGGACATTCATTCAGTGATCTCGCGACTAGAGAGATGCATTTGTCTGAGAAATAAAGTGGAGATCTGCCCTTGGTAAATCATTGTATTGAAAAGTCTATTGATACAAGGTATCTGACGGATCAAAATAATTATTGGGGAGATGACACGAAATTTGTGATCAAAGATGTCAAGAGAGGATTGTATTAGTAGAATCAAGGTACAACATAAAAAAATATATAATAAAAATTAAATAGAAGTCCACACAACTTTGTGCATAGTGCAAAAAAAGTCGTCATTTGTCTTGCTTGTGTATTTTCCTGAAATTAATCCATAACCAAGTCATTCCAGGCTTTGCTTCTTCTGCTTATGAATTGGGGACAGTCAAAACCTTATCCTGAACTCTTCTTCTTGTTCAATTCTTATCCTTATAAGTTTCTTTCATCACTCAGATTCCTTCCAATCCTCATTTTCTTCATCAGTTATTAAGCTGGCCCAAAGAGATGTGGAAATATAGAATTGAATATTGATGATGTTGCAAGTTACCATTATTAAATTCCTTTGAAATGCAATCAACGATGTCACGCTCAGGACATGGGTAATCGATTATAACAAACAAAGATAACGATCAACAAGAAAGTAAAGAATATGGAGCTTTACGTGGTACAGCAACACAATGTGTGTTGGTTAGTCCACGGGCACGGGGAGAGTCAGTTTCACTATGCTAAAGGAGATTGATCCTTCGATACAGGATTACAGAGGAGTATGAGAAGTATTTATCGTACTTCCAGTCCACGACAGATCATTCGATTCAAGTCACATTAACAAACCAATTCATAACGGACTTTTGGATTGATTCGTTGAACGATTCATTGATTCTGAAACATGCATAATAAATTCGAGGAAATGTATGTAGCACTCGATTTCTGAGTAGGGTTATAAGATCGTTCAAGGATTCGAACTCACTTGGAAAGCATGATTCAGACAATGTAAGAAAGTGGTTAAGATCCATATATGATATTAGAGTTGGTTTCATCGCAACATCACGTTGTACCGGAATCTAATTTCCTTATGCCTGTCATTTCATTTGTCACAAAAAAGGAAGGAAGAAGAAAACGATATTTTATTCGGTGCCGACTCGATTTGTGGTCGGTCTATAATCAGTTAATCACACAGAGCCCAGCCCACCACTTGGCGCCGTTGACAGTTAATTTTCTCGCCACAATTTCCCCCATTTTCTCGAGAAAATCCAACCTCCTCGCAGCTTTCCCGTCACAACGGTTGCCCAGTCCGCGTCGCCAAACAAAAGCAAATGAGATTCTCCCCTACGTGGCTTTCCATGATTGGTAAGTCGTTATCCCCGTGCGTCACCGTCTCACAGTTGTACCGGACACGCAATCCGAGAGGATGGAATTACGCGGGCAGTTCGCTGATCTACTTATTAAGCAAACCCAGCCGAGCGTCGAGGTAGTAAATTTTTCTCCCTTTCGCCTTCAAAAGATTGAAGCTTTACTTCGTCAAATTGAAAGATTCCCCTGTTTCTCCACTACCCAGATTCCCAATTTTAATTTTGTAAAAAAGATCCAATTTGGGGGGGGTTTTTTAGTGCTATAAATTCGGAACAATCTGCCGGCAGATCTTTACTGGGTCAATCTCCATTTCACTTCTTCGTTTCTTGTTTCTGTTCTTGGGGTTTTTTTCTGTCTAGAAATCTCTGTAGCTGTGAGTTACTCGATCAAATGGCAATCAAGACAAATGGGTTCATCGATGGGATCTTCCCCGAGGAGCTGAGGAGAGTGCTGCAGTCTCTGGCCATGGAATGGGGAGATGTGGTGGAAGACATGAAAGCCTTGCAGGTGATACCAATGAAAGGTGCGATGACGAATGAGGTTTACCAGGTGAACTGGCCGACGAAGGGAGGAGGGGAAGGAATCAACAGGAAGCTGTTGATTCGAATCTATGGCGAAGGTGTTGATCTGTTCTTCAATAGGGATGATGAAGTCAGGACGTTTGAGTGTATGTCGAACCATGGTCAAGGCCCTAGGCTTCTTGGCCGGTTCCCTGAAGGCAGGGTTGAAGAGTTTATCCATGCTAGGGTAAGATTAATCATGATCAAAATTGAACACTGTTCTTTTCACCCTTCAATAGTTCAAATCCCTAACTGAATCACTCAGTTGACTTTTTTTTGCTGATTCCCCCAATTTGGTATTTTGCAGACACTTTCAGCTGCTGATTTAAGGGACCCTGAGATTTCTGCTCTGATAGCAGCAAAGATGAGGGAGTTTCACAATCTTGAGATGCCTGGCTCAAAGACTGTGTCAGTTTGGAACAAAATGAGGTACTGAAGTGTTAAGAAAAAGCAGCAGTTTGTGGGGATCAGGACTGTTTCCTTTTTTTTTTTGTTTTGTTTTGTCTAAATTGTGGTTCTGTTGGACTCTTTCTTTTCAAGGGATTTGTTGGGTGAGGCTAGAAGCTTGTGCACTGTGAGAGATGCTAAAGAGTTTCGCTTGGATGTTTTGGAAGATGAGATCAATATGCTGGAGAAGGAGATCTCGAAAGGGCGCCATGAGACTGGGTTCTGTCACAATGATCTGCAATATGGCAATGTAATGATCGATGAAGAAACCAAGGCTATCACTTTGATTGTAAGTTCATTTCAGTACCTTTCTTTCTCTCGTCACTTGTTCATCACTTTACGTTGCTGTTGTGTTTTAAGCTGTGATTTATCTTCGTTTCATAACACCATATATAGACCATATCTGTGTAATTGATCTCTAACTTTAAGAAGTAAGAGATTTGTACTTTAGCTGAATTTGCTGCTTATAGCCATATTTAACAGTCGCAAGTCTGCCATGTGCATAAATGTTTTGCTTGGTTACTGAACAAATCCCACTAAGAACTGTGTTAAGTATGTTATAATTCTGATTAGTCAACTCTTATTAAAGTGGCCTGTGTGCATATGCATGTTTGTGACTGGTGACGATTGTTTATCTTTTGTTAAAACTGTTGCAGCTCTGAAACTAATTTCCCACCCAAAACAATGAGAACCAAATGAAAAGGTCCTTCCTTTTCTGAGGTATTTCTCCTTCTAGGAAAGGTTCGGTTTGGCTTAAAACTAAAGAGATGGATTTCAGTATATATGCTTGTTTCTTATTATCTCTTCACTCCAACCCTTTACAGGATTACGAGTATGCAAGCTACAATCACATTGCTTATGACCTGGCAAATCACTTCTGCGAAATGGCTGCGAATTACCATTCTGATACTCCACACATCCTGGATTTTGACACATACCCAGGTAACTTACCTACCTTACTTCGATCCCTTTCCTTCTCGTTACCATGTCCCATCTGCTGTTGGTTGTTCTTCAATCCCAGCCCAGCTCATCATTTCTTGTATCAGGACACGAAGAGCGCTGCAGATTCGTCCGTGCTTACCTTAGCTCGTCTGGCGAGAAGCCAACCGAAGATGAAGTGTTGCTGCTAGTTCAGGCTGTAGAAAACTATAAGCTAGCAAACCATCTCTTCTGGGGCCTATGGGGCATAATTTCGGTACACACTATATTACCCTTCCAACTTGTTCAGCAAAGTCCAGTCCTTTGGATCGAGTAGTGACATTTGCTTTCCATGTTATCTGTTTGCAGAGATACGTGAATCAAATCGATTTCGACTATCTGGAGTACGCGAGGCAGAGATTGCAGCAGTATTGGAAGATCAAGCCAATGCTTCTTCTGGGTTCATCTGGGGTGGTGGTTAATTCATGTGATAGTAATGGATATGCAGGAGTTGGAACAAGGGAAGGGGCTTAAGTATTAGGATTCTGTTTTTACTGGAAATTTGTATAAAAAGATGTGCGTTATTAAGAGAGAGAGATAAGAGTTGGGATTCAATAGTTTTTGAACTCAATTATAGAGACAATCTACTTAACAGTGTAATATATAGTTGATAATCCTTGATAATAATACGTTTGATGTTTCCAGAGACAATCTATTAGAGTAAATTGAAGAACACTAATTTGAGAAATTTGCAAAATACGGTAAACTTTTTTATTAGTTTTTTTTTTAAATAGGCCAAAATGTGTTATGCATAGGCTTCAAAATCGGTGACTAATATCATTGGAATAAATCCGTCAATAGATAGCCTTCAAAATTAATAATAATATCATTGGAAAAAACTGGCTAAAATTTGTTATGGATGATAGTATTCAAAATCGATAAATAATAGCATTCCAAATAATCAGCCAAAATATGTGTGGAAAGCCTTAAAATCGATGAATAATTGCATTTCAAAATATCGACCAAAATATGTGATAGATAGCTTTCAAAATTGGTGACTAATATCAGTGGAAGAAACTGACCAGGATCTATGATGGATAGCCTTAAAAATGGATGTATAATAGCATTACAAAAAACATGCCAAAATCTATGATGGATAGACATTAAAATTGATGAATATTGTCATTCCAAAAACTGGTTAAAATTGTGATGGATAGCCTTCAAAATTGTTGACTAATATCAAACTGGCCTGTGATTGATAGCTTTCAAAATCAATGAATACTTGATTTTGACCTATTTTTTACAATGCTATTATTCATCGATTTTGAAGGTTATCCATCACATATTTTGGCCGATTTCTTTCAATGATATTAGTCTCTGATTTTGAAGCTATCCATAACAAATTTTAGTTGATATTTTATAATGAAATTATTCATCAATTTTGCAGGCTATCCATACAGATTTAGGACTTTTTTGGAATGCATTCATTGATTTTAAAGGTTATCCATCACATATTTGACATGCTTCTTCCAATGCAATTATTCCTTGATTTTGAATGTTAGATACTATCACAAATTTTGGATGATTTTTTCGAATGCTAATATTCGTGATTTTGAAGGTTATTAATCACAGATTTAAGTCCGATTTTTTGGAATGTTATTAATCATCGATTTTGAAGGCTATCCATCACAGATTTTGGCAGTTTCTTCCAATATATTAGTCACTGATTTTGAAGTCTGTCCATCACAAATTTTGGTGAATTTTTATGAATGCAATTATTCACATATTTTGAAGGCTATTCAGCACAAATTTTGACATTTTTTTGGAATGCTATTATACATTGATTTTGAAGGCTAGCAATCACATATTTTAGTCTCTTTTTTGGAATGTTTAATTTCATTAATTTTGTATGCTATCCATCATATATTTTGGCCGGTTTCTTCCAATTATATTAGTCTCCGATTTTGAAGACTATTCATAACATATTTTGGCCGATATTTTATAATACAAATATTCATCGTTTTGTAGGTTGTCTATCATAAATTTTGGAGGGTTTTTCAGAATGTTATCATTCATTGATTTTGAAGGCTATCCATCAAATATTTTGACATGTTTCTTCCAATGCGATTATTCATTGATTTTGAATGCTATCCGTCACAGATTTTGGCCTATTATTTTGAATGCTAGTTCATCAATTTTGAAGGCTATCCATCACATATTTTGGCCGGCTTTTTGGCATATAATTATACATCAATTTTGAAAGCTATCCATAATTATTTTGGGTGTTCATCCAATGATATTAGTCACCGATTTTGAAGGCTATAAATCACAAATTTTGGTCAATTTTTTTTAAATGTTAGTCATTGATTTTTAAGTCTATTCGTCATAAATATTAGCATATTATTTTAATGTTATTATTAAGTAATTTTGAGGCTATCCATCACAGATTTTAGCTAATATTTTAGAATGCAATTACTCATCGATGTTGAAGTATATTCATCACATATTTTGGCTAGTTTTTTGGAATTCTATTATTCATTGATTTTGAAGGATATCCATCGAGGATTTTGGCCTGATGCTATTCTTCACCGATGATTAAGTCCATTAAGCACCGATTAGGGCGTTTATCTTGTGGGTTCATTTTTGGCATATTTCAAAGGGGTACATACTGATCTCGTGTTATTTTTCCGAAATGTCATATCTTTCCATTTTAAAGGCTATAGATCAAGGATTCAACTCGAGACTATTCTCCACCGATGATGAAATATATTGATCTTATCACCATCAATGATTAAGTTCATTAAGCACTGATTTTGACAGATATATTCTAGGATGGCATTTTAATAAATTTTTGGGCAATTTTTTTCGGAATGCCATTTTCCTAGGATTTTGAAGGCTTCATATCCCAGATTCATCCTGAGTTTATTTTTCACCAATGATTAAGGCCATTAGGTATCGAGTTAGACGGATTTCTTCCGGACCCATTTTGGCATATTCGAAAGGGGCATCATCACATATTTTAGGTGATTTTTTCCGAAATGTCATTTTCTTTCAATTTTGAAGACTACAGATCACAGATTCGGCCCGAGAAAATTCTCCACAGATGGTGAAGTCTATTGATTCTATTCTCCATAGATGATTAAGTCCATTAAGCACTGATTTGGACGAATTTATTTTCGATGACATTTTCGTAACTTTTTGAGCGATTTGTTTCGAAAGGTCATTTTCTTTGGATTTTCAAGGCTACAGATCACGGATTCGGCCGAATGATATTCTTCACCGATGCTTGAGTCCATCATCGAATTGGGCGGATTTCTTCTGGGTCGATTTTAGGCAGATTCCAAATGGGTACCATCACATATTTCGGGCGATTTATTCGAAATGTCATTTTCTTTTGATTTTGAAGGCTATAGATCACAGATTCAGTCTGAGGTTATTCTCTACCGATAATTAAGTCCATTATGCACTGATTTGGGCGGATTTATTTTGGGATGATATTTTCGTAATCTTTTGGCGATTTTTTTTAAATGCTATTTTCCTTGAGTTTTGAAGACTACAGATCGTAGATTCGGCCTGAGACTATTCTTCACCGTTGATTAAGTTTATTAAGCATCGACTTGTGCAAAATTATTATCGAATGACAATAATCGTAACTTTTTTAGCTCTTTTTTTTCCGAAAGGCTATTTTCTTTGGATTTTGAATGATACATATCATGGATTCGACCGGAGGCTATTCTTCACTGATGAATTAGTCCATTAAGCACCGATTTGGGTGGATTTCTTCCGGGTCCATTTTTTGCAGATTCCAAAGAGATATCATCACAGATTTTAGGCATTTTTTTTGAAATGCCATTTTCTTTCGATTTTGAAGGCTATAGATCAAGAATTTGGCCAAAGACTATTATTGTCGATGATGAAGTCTATTGATCCTATTTTTATCGATGACTAAGTCCATTAAGCACTGATTCAGGGGGTGTATTTTTGGATGATATTTTCGTAAATTTTTTGGGTGATTTATTTCGAAAACCCATTTTCTTTGGACTATGAAGGCTACAGATCACAGATTCGACATTAGGCTATACTTCACCGATGATTAAGTTCATTAAGCACTAATTTGGGCATATTTCTTCGGTTCCTTTTTGGCATTTCAAAGGGATTGTGTCACAGATTTCATGCAATTTCTGCGAATTGCAGTTTTCTTTCGATTTTGAAGGCTTCTTATAACGGATTTGGCACGAGGTTATTCTCCACAGATTATGAAGTCTCTTGATCTTATTCTCCATCGTTGATTAAGTCCATTAAGCACTAATTTGGGCTTATTTATTTTCGCATGACGTTTTCACAATTTTTTGGGCAATTTTTTCCGAAATACCATTTTTCTTTGGTTTTGAAGGCTACAGATCACAAATTTGAACTACGGATATTCTTCACTGATGATTAAGTCCATTAAGCACTTATTTGGGTACCATCACTGATTTCATGCGATTATTTCGAAAGACCATTTTCCTCAGATTTTGAAAGCTACAGATTACATATTCGGCATGAGACTATTCTCCACCGATTATTAAGCCCATTAAGTACCAATTTGTGTGAATTTATTCTCGAATGACCAGTTTCGTAACTTTTTAGCGCTTTTTTCCGAAAGGCCATTTTCTTTGGATTTTGAATGCTACAGATCACGTATTCGACCGGAGACTATTCTTCACCGATGATTTAGTCCATTAAGCACCGAATTGGGCGGATTTCTTCCGGGGCCAATTTTGGTAAATTACAGATCACGAATTTGGCTCGAGGCTATTCTCCACCGATGATTACGTCCATTAAGCACCAATTTAGGCGTATTTAATTTTGGATGACTGTTTTGTTAATGTTTTAGTGATTTTTTCCGAAAAGCCATTTTGAAGTCTACATATCACGGATTCGATCCGAGGCCATTCTTCACCGATGATTAAGTTCATTAAGCATCGACTTGGGAAAATTTCTTCCGAGTCAATTTTTGGCATATTCTAAAGGGTTACCATGAAGATTTCGGGTGATCTTTTCGAAATGCCATTTTCTTTTTATTTTGAAAGCTATAGATCACGAATTTGGCCCGAGCCTATTCACCACCGATTATAAGTTTATTGATCATATTATCCATTTGATGATTAGGAATGGCAATGGGGCAGGTCCGGGGCGGGTATCTCGATACCCATACCCGCCCCATGGCAGGTCGGGTCCAGGTCGGGTAATTTATTACGGGGCGCGGGTCGGGGCAGGTCGACCCAATGGGTATGTAATTTATGTCAAAAAATATTAGAAATATTAGTTATTTTCATTAAAATACCAAGAAAGAAACCATAATATGATAAAATCTAGTTAAATTATTGAAGAAATTGAGGTTTACACTTAATTACAACTTTATTATAGCTAAAATATAATGTAATAAGAGGAGAATATTAAGTAATTTGACTAAGATTATATGTAACTTAGGCAAGAACGGGTCGAGAATGGGGCGGGTCAGGGCAAGTCGGTTCGATGAGAGATACCCATTCCCGCCCCGCCCCGCCTAGAGGGCGGGTCTAACCCGCCCCAAAACAGGCCAAACAGGTCGGGTAAATCGGGTTAGGTCGAAATTGCCATCCCTACCGATGATTGCGTCTATTAAGCACCAATTTTGGCGGATTTATTTTGCATTGCATTTTTGTAATATTTTGGGCGAATCATTTTGAAAGGTCGTTTTTCTTTGATTTTGAAGGTTATAGATCATGTATTCTACGTGTGGCTATTTTTGAAAGGTCGTTTTATTAAAAAAAAAATGTGTGGCTGTTCTTCATCGATGATTAAATCCATTAAGCATCTATTTAGGTGGATTTCTTCTCGATCAATTTTTGGCAAAGGGGTACCATCAAAGATTTTGTGCAATTTTTCAGAAACAATGTTTGCTTTCCTTTTTGAAGGTTACAGATCATGGATTACTCCCGAAGCTATTCTCCCTTATATGAAGTCTATTGATTTTATTCTCCACCGACGATTAAGTTCGTTAAGCACCGATTTGGCGGATCTATTTCCGGATGACATTTTCGTAATATTTTTGGCGATTGTTTTATAAAGGTCATTCTCCTTGGATTTTGAAGGCTACAGATCACTGATTCGGCCTGAAGATATTCTTCACCGATGATTAAGTACATTAAGCATCGATTTGGGCGAATTTCTTCGGAGTCCATTTTTGGCAGATTCTAAAGGGGTACTTTCACAGATTTCGAGCGATTTTTCTGGAATGCCATTTTCTTTCAATTTTGAATGCTATAGATCACGAATTTGCCCCAAAACTATTCTCCACCGATGATGAAGTCTATTGATCATATTATCCTCCAATGGTGAAGTCCATTAAGCACTTATTTGAGCGGATTCATTTTTGGATGGCATTTTTGTAAATTTTGTGGGCAATTTATTTTGAAAGGCCATTTTCCTTGTATTTTGAAGGCTACAGATCCCGAATTCGGCCTGAGGCTATTCTTCACCGATGATTAAGTCCATTAAGCACCGATTTGAGTATATTTTTTCGAGTCCATTTTTGGCAGAATCGAAAGGAGTTTGTCACAGATTTCGGGCGATTTTGCCGAAACGCCATTGTATTTCAATTTTGAAGTTACAGGTCAAGGATCCAGCTCGAGGCTATTCTCCATCGGTGAAGAAGTCTATTGATTTTATTCTCCACCGGTTATTAATTCCATTATGCACCGATTTGGGCAGATATATTTTAGGATGGCATCTTCGTAGTTTTTTGGGCAATTTTATTCAAAAGGCAATTTTTCTATGATTTTGAAGACTGCAGATCACGAATTTGGCATGAGTCTATTCTTCACCAATGATTAAGTTCATTAAGTACCGATTTGGGCGGATTTATTTCTAGTCCTTTTTTGCCATAATAAAAAGGGGTACCATCACAAATTTCTGGTGATTTTGCTGAAATGCCATTTTCTTTCGATTTTGTAGGTTACATGTCAAAAATTCAACTCGAGGCTATTCTCCACCGATTAAGAACTCTATTGATCATATTCTCACCGATGATTAAGTCCATTAAACACCATTTTGGAGGATATATTTTAGGATCGTATTTTCATAATTTTTTAGCGTCCTTTTTTTGAAAGACCATTTTTCTAGGATCGTATTCTTCACCGATGACTAAATCCATTAAGTCTCGATTTGGACAGTCTTGGTCCATTTTTGGCAGAATCCAAAGGGGTACCATCACAGTTTCAAACGATTTTGTCGAAAAGCCATTTTCTTTCAATTTTGAAGGCTGCATGTAAAGGATTCAGCTCGAGACTATTATCCACCGATGAAAAATTCTATTAATCACATTCTCCGTCGATGATTAAGTTTATTAAACACCGATTTGGGTGGATATATTTCAGGATGGCATTTTCGTAAATATTTGGGGGATTTTTTTTTTGAAAGTTTTGCTAGGATTTTGAAGGCTACAGAACACAGATTCAGCCGGAGTCTATTCTTCACCGATGATTAAGTCTATAAGCATCGATTTGGGCCGATTATTTCCATGTCCATTTTTGACAGAATCCAAAGACCATGACAAATTTCAGCGATTTTTCCGAAATTCCATTTTCCTTCGATTTTGAAGACTACAAATCATGGATTCGGCTCGAGGCTATTCTCCACTAATGATGAAGTCTATTGATCCTCTTATCCACCGATGATTAAGTCTACTAAGCACCGATTTGGGCGGATTTATTTTTGGATGATTTTTTGGATGACATTTTCCTTGAATTTTGAAGGCTATAGATCACCAATTCGGCCTAAGGCTATTCTTAACCGATGATTAAGTCCATTAAGCATTGACTTGGGAAAATTTCTTACGGGTCCATTTTTTGTGGATTCTAAAGGGTATCATCATAGATTTCAGGCGGTTTTTCCGAAATGTCATCTTCTTTCGATTTAGAACTATAAATCAAGTATTTGGCCCGAGCCTATTCTCCACCGGTTATGAAGTCTAATGATCAAATTATCCACCGATTGTGACGTCCATTAAGCACCAATTTGGGCGGATTTATATTAGAATGACATTTTCATAATTTCTTAAGCAATTTTTTCCGGAAAAACAATTTTACTTGAATGTTGGAGGCTACAGATCACGGATTCGGTGTGAGGCTATTCTTCACTGATGATTTAGTTCATTAAGCACTGATTTGGGTGAGTTTCTTCCGGATCCAGTTTTTGCAGATTCCAAAGGGGTACCATCACAGATTTCGGGCGATTTTTCCGAAATATCATTTTCTTTCAATTTTGAAGGCTACAAATCACGAATTTGGCCAAAGGTTATTCTCCACCGCTGATGAAGTCTATTGATCCTATTATTTACTGATGGCTAAGTCCATTAAACACCGATTCGAGATGGATGTTTTCTGATGGCATTTTCGTAATTTTTTGGGTGATTTATTTTGAAAGGCCATTTTCCTTGAACTATGAAGGCTACAGATCACAGATTTGGCCTTAGACTATTCTTCACCGATGATTAAGTTCATTAAGCACCGATTAACACAGATTTCTTCAGTGTCCTTTTTGGCAGATTCCAAAGGTAACTATCACATATTTCGCCCGGGGGGGGGGCTAATGCCACTATAACACCCGAACTATCACAAAAAAATGTCACTTGTATCCTATTCTTTTCAATATTCCATTTGTATCCTAAACTATTATTCTGTTAGTGTTGACCGGTGTTAACCGTTAGTTTTTAACAGAAAATCCAGTCAACATCTACGTGGCATTTGACATGGAATTCTTAATTATTTTTTTCATAGAAAATTTATAAAAAACAAAACCCCTGTCTACCAGAAACCTCGCCGATGATTATTCCCCTGCTGCCTCCCCATCTCTGCATCGCCATTCCTTCTCGATATCTCTCCACCGCTATCGAAATCGGTCATCACTTCTCTGCTCTTTCCAGACCAGGCGACCATCCCAGTTCATCCCCGATGCTGGATTTTCCCCCCAGTTGTCACAATAAAACTACCCTGCGTGGCGGCCGCCGGAATAGTGAGCCTCGGAGTTTCGTTGCCGTCGAGAGACAGGTGACTCTATCAGCTCCAATCTCATCCAGAAAATTCTTCCCAAACTGTATTACCTCCCACATGGAAATCCGCTCCACAAACGAAACCACTAAGGCCATCCCATCACCGCCATTAGATAAAATTCAACCCACAACCCTAATAATCCAAATCCTCCACCCAACTTGTACCGCTCGCCTTGTTGGGAACTTCCCCTCTCCGCTGGCCTCCTGTTTCTCATCGCAGGCACCGCTGTCCCAACCTTGCTTGCTTCCATGGCTTCCATAGCCAATCACAATGCGGTGTCGATACAGATCTGGAAGAGAGAGGTGCCTGCATAGAAGAGATCGATCTATAGCAGTCGGAGCCGGATATGCTTCCCCGCCCTTCTCTCTCCCTCCCTCGCGCGCGACGGATCACCTCGCTAGCGTTGTTTTAGGTTTCTCGTTCTTGTTCGAATACGAGCAGGGGAATGGGCTTGTTGATTTCTGGGTTAAATTTATTGAGGTCGAATACGAGCAGGGGGGATCGGATTGGAGATTTTTTAGAGAAAGAGAGGGCTAATCGGTAGGAAATAAGAATTATGAGATTTTTTTTTTAATTTTGGCTTGATAATATAATTGAATTTAAAGTTTTTTTATTTTAACTCAATTTTTATTTAATTTGAATTCAAACAATATGAGGTTAGTGACGTGGCATCTATGTGGCAGCCACATTCTTTGCCACGTCAATAAAAGCCAATTTTGCGTTGACCACCGTTTGGTCAGCTGTTATCTTTAACGGTCAACTAAATTGACAGGATACAAATGATACAAAGTATCATAGTTGAGGACATGAATGGAATATTGAAAATAATAGGACACAAGTGGCATTTTTGCGATAGTTCAGGTGTTGTAGTGGTATTAGCCCTATTTCAGGCAATTTTTACGAATTGCAATTTTCTTTCGATTTTGAAGGCTACTGATCACGAATTTGACACGAGGCTATTCTCCACCGATGATTAAGTCTATTGATCTTATTCTCCATCGATGATTAAGTCCATTAATCATCAATATGGGCTGATTTATATTCGAATGACATTTTCGCTATTTTATCCGAAATGTCATTTTCCTTTGATTTTGAAGGCTACAGATCACGAATTCTGGCTGAGGATATTCTTCACAAATGATTAAGTCCATTAAGCACAATTTTGTGCGGATTTCTTTTGGGTCCATTTTTGGTAGATTCGAAAGGGGTACCACCACATATGTCGGGTTATTTTTTCGAAATGTCATTTTCTTTCGATTTTGAAAGTTACAGATCATGGACTCGGCCTGAATCTATCCTCCACTGATGACGAAGTCTATTGATCCTGTTCTCCACCGAGGAATAAGTCCATTAAGCATAGATTTGGGCAGATTTATTTTTCAAATGAAATTTTTGTTTTGTTTATTTTATTTTATTTTTTTCGAAATACCATTTTTGTTGGATTTTGAAGGCTATAGATCATGCATTCGGCGTGAGGCTATTTTCATTGATGATTAAGTCCATTAAGCACCGATTTGGGATGATTCCTTCCTTGTCCATTTTGGCATATTCCAAAGGTGTACCAACATAAATTTCAAGCAATTTTTCCGAAATGCCATTTTCTTACAATTTTGAAGTCTAAATATCACGAATTCGACCTGAGTTTATTCTCCACCAATGATGAAAGCTATTGATCCTATTCTCCACCGATCATTAAGTCCATTAAACACCAATTTGGGCGGATCTATTTTCGATTCCATTTTCGTAATTTTTTGGGAGATTTTTTTCGAAAGGCCACTTTCCTTGCATTTGGAATGCTTGAGATCACGGATTCAGTCTGAAACTATTTTTCACCGATGATTGAGTTCATTAAACACTGATTTGGGCTGATTTCTTTCTGGTCTATTTTTGGTAGATTCCAAAGGGTACCATCACAGATTTCGGGGGATTTTACTGAAATGTCATTTTCTTTCGATTTTGAAAACTACAATCACAAATTCGGCGAGATGATATTGTTCACCAATGAGGAAGTCTATTGATTCTATTCTCCATCAACGATTAAGTCCATCAAGTACCAATTTGTGCAGATTTATTTTCCGGTGACATGTCATAATTTTTTGGACCATTTTTTTTCGAAAGATCATTTTCTTTGATTTTGATAGCTACAAATCACATATTAGGCCTGAGAATATTTTTCACCCATGACTAAGTCCATTACCCTCCAATTTTGGTGGATTATTTTTCAGATCCATTTTTGGTATATTCTAAAGGGGTGCCATCACAGATTTCAGACGATTTTTCAGAAATGTCATTTTCTTTTGATTTTGAAAGCTCTGTATCACGGATTAGGCGTGAGGCTATTCTCCGGTGGGTTAGGGTGATTACTTGTTTTTTAGTAATCACGATGGCAACCCCTTTATATACCATTAGATTTCATATTTTCCCTTCTTTTTTAATCGTACGGTCAAGATTCTTTTAGGGTAATTATGAAAATGAAAAAGTGACCAAACCCGATTATTCTATATAATCTACCCAAACTCTAGTTCTACCATCTCTCCAGCCAAACCCGTCGCAGCCACCTCCACCACTCTGTCGCACTAATCCCGCCGGTCGCCTACACAGCCCCTTCCCTCGGCCACCCCCGACGACCACCCTCAACGACGACGAAGCCTACAGCCGTCCACCCCCGACGACGACACCTACAACCAGACCCTCCTCTCCGGCTACCCCTGACCACCGCGGCTCGACGACAACGACGCCTACAGTCCGCCACCCTCCCCTCGGCCACCCCCGACGACGTCGCCGCCTATAGCCAGACCCTCCTCTCCAGCTACCCCGGACCACCTCTCTCTCTCTCTCTCTCTGAGACGCTTGTGGTGGAGGGGTGAGATGGAGGGGTAGAAGGCGCCATTGATTATATATATACATACATGGAAGGTAACAAAAGCGAGAAGCAAAGCAGGGGTGGAAGGCAAAACCAAGTAGCAAAGAAATTAATCTTTGTATGTAATGGTAGGGATCTACCATTTTTGTAGTTATCTGCACACATTGGCAGTGATCTTTCAATGGTAGTGATCTTTTGGTGGATTGGTATGTTATTTGATCTTGTAATGGTAGTGATCAAGATGAGTTGCGCTGTTTTTTTTTATCTTGCAATGGTATGTGTGTACGATTTTGTTAAGACTGGCATGCATTGGTAGTGATCTACCGCATGGAATGGTAGTGTTCATTGTTATACGTGCAATGGTATTGTTCGATTTAATTTTTTGGAATGGTATTGGTTGCAGTTCTTCATTGGCGGGAACTAGAAGTGTGTAAGTTGTTTAATTCTGTTTTATTGCTTCTGGTTTTCTTTGCTGAACCTATTGATTATATTGGCAAGATAATTGTTTTATGATTTGGGAGGAAGAAGATTGATTGAAGATTTGACGTGAAGAGAGTAGAAGGATTGGTTTGTATTTTTTGAAATGGTAGTGATTTTTTTCGTAGTGGTAGTGTTTTTCGCATTGGTATTATTTTTTCTATATTGGTATTGATTATCATGTAACGGTATTTGCATGTATTGGTATTGATTAAATATGCAATGATATTGGTGTTTTGTGAAATTGTAGTGTTTTTATTTCTCGAATGCTATAGGTGTTTTGTGCAATGGTAGTGTTTTTCTAATGGATTGGTATTGATTTATTATTTATTGTTGTAACTGTATTAGTTCGGCTGAACAACGTATGACCACACTAATACCTATCAAACCAAACATATATACCGATAAAGATATGTATAAATCATACTCCTATGACGTCTGATTAAGACCGACATCAACAATATGTCTACCAACACATAACTACAGACAATAATACTATTAAAACACAAGGACAAGCAAAACAATTCATTTTAATGGTACTGATACTCAACCAATATCAAACCATGCACATCCTATAACCATTATGTTGACACTCTGCATCCAACTCAATTTCAATATTGAATACCAATCCATCAAAACATATATACACCAATACCAATGTACACACTACCAATAAAACGTAGTATCACTACCAAAACAATAAGCACCAGAATACCATTCTTACCCTTAGTAGCCACGGTGATTACTGATTACTACCATTCTTACCCTTTGTAGTAATCACCGTAACCGTTCCCGCTATTCTCCACCTATTATTACGTCCATTAAGCACCGATTTGGATCGATTTATTTTCGGATGACATTTTCTTAATTCTTTGGGCAATTTTTCCCTAAAGGCCATTTTCTCATGATTCTACCTTAGGCTCCTTAGAGTGTTCTTCATCAATTATTAAGTTCGTTAATCACCGATTTAGACGACTTTATTTCAAGAACATTATTGGCATATTTCAAAATGGGTTACCACTTACCATCACAAATTTCGGGCTATTTTCTGAACACTACAAATCACGCATTTTGAGAAAAAAGAATATAGTCCAATAAAGGAAACACTAGTTAAAAGAAAACACATATACACGTCCCGTGGAAGAACAGCACAAAGGCCTTCCTTCCTCTTCTTTTCACCAAAATTTACTATATACCCACATTCTGTACATACTTTCATCTAGATGTAAGGAGAAAAAACCATAACTAGGGGGGGTCAAAATGTAAAAAGAAGCCTTTCACAGAACTGCAACAAATAACCCAATATACAACTGTGAAGAAACAAATGAACCAGTGACGCATTACTCGTGGTACGGCTGTTGAATCAGTAGGCTGAAGCATGTGTTTATGCTTCCTCAATCGTTTGATCAATGCGAAACAGAACTTGAGTCAATCGTCGCTGCTCGCTTTTTGTTGCATCTCAGGTGCATCATGATCATTCGATCGCAAACCAAACAACTCAGGAGGCATAAGCACTGTAATTCCACCTCCATCATTCAGTAGGATAGCTGGATTGTACTTGTGTGGCTTAACATGTGTGTATGAACTGCCAAGCGGCAAGCTTTCTTCTCCCCAGCTACTCAGCTATTGCTGCCTAATTGGATAGTTGTATGTATATGTTTTCGGTCTCTCAATCTCCCAAACTGACGTTTCCTGCATCAAATTGTTTCATTCTCTGACAACTCAGGCAGACTGCGGGAAATGGAAGTACATTTAGAGATGGAGCAAGAGACGGAAGTTCAGAGCTTTACCTCATCGAGTTGCAAGTAGCTCATTCCAATATCGAGTCCAATCTCTGCTTCCTCGTCCTCAATCTCTGCATCGGTGATGGTGAGCGCACGTTGTAGCTTCTTGGGACAGAACACCTCGACCTCAACCATGAATGTGGCAGTCACTGGTCGATGGTCGGAGAACTTTAGCTCGGTTCTCCTGTAGTTCAAGAGCCTGAATCCTTTCCCATGCGAAAGAATGCGGTCACACCTGAGAAATCAAGCAACCCTCAGCATTTTTGGTTTTGTACTACAAACAAATGTGCGACGAAAAAAGTTCAAGGAGCTATGTATTACCATGCAGGAGTACGCCTCCCAGCCTTTGGATCCTCTCCATAGTATCTATCCGAGTTGAGTTCGTACTTGTATGTTGGCGGAAAGGCTAGTTTACCTTCTCGCCATCCATCAAATGCACGGCCTTTTCTAAGTTCTTTTGTGAGCTGCCATGAAAAATCGAC